TAAAGTATGTTGCAATGGATCGACCACCTCCAGCCAAGGCAGAGAAGCTCATTCAAAAGTGGGCATCAGAACTTGCATTTTATTTTATTTTTTTTCTGAGATAAGGTCTTCCTGAATACCCAAGCTGATCCTCAGCCTCCTCAGTGCTGAAAGTACAGGCATATGCTACCATGCCAGTCTTAAGCCTGCATTTTAAAACAAGCTGTGCTAAGCTAGGTAGTCCTTTTGCTTAACTGAAGCTGGAGAACCAAGGCTCTTATAAAGCAGAGCCTAGTATGTTCTGCCTTCCGAGAACAGAGCTATTCATAGTCCACTCTGTGTAGTTGACTGACTACAAGTCTACTCTGTGGTGAGGATTGAGTACTGGGTGCAGAGTTTCCATGTATTGGAACTTTCCAGAAGCAAAGCCATCAACTACAGGTCAAGGTTGATACAGGCAATCCCAGTTCTGCCTACAGATGCCACTTGCCCAGCATACATGGGTTTCCATAACAGGAAGATGATGGTCTTTGTTGGTTTGAGTCACTTTTACCTGTGGCCTTCGCTGTCAGAATTCCATGGGCTTTGATTGTGGAGATTCCATAACATGGGAGGCACCAAGAAAAGCCACTCCTAATGCTTTGTATCCACATCTGTACTGTTTTCCAGGTATGTCCATTGTGGCACATGCTGAAGTCCACAGGCCATTGCACGTTCCAAGAACTGCATTAACTCCCCAAACCAGAAAAGAAAATGAGGCCTTCACAGAATGCAAATCCATTAGCAGAGTTTCCAGATTTCCTGTTGGAGAATGACAGCTAGCAGCACTGTAGTGTAGCCATGGAGTAGAATCTGTAGCCATGGAATAGAATTTGTAGCCATGGAGTAGAATCTGGGCCCAATCTGCCTAAATTCAAATTCTGGTAATATCCTATAGTTATGTAACTATGAAACGGTGCTAATTTCATCCAAAACTCAGTTTCTATATCAAGATAAAAAATAATAGTATTTCCATTTCAGGGTTGTCCTAAGGATTAAATGAGTTAATAAATAAGTTTGAGGTTCTTGGAATGGTGATCAGGAAAATCAAGTGTTCATTAATGTTAGCCATATTTATTTCTGGTCATTTAAGGGCAGGGTCTGTGTGGGGGGGGGTGATATGTGCAGGGGCAGTCATCGGCCATATGGTATGGCAGAGGCTGGGTTACTGAGGGGTCCACTCTGGGAAATCTATTGATATTGGGCTGAGTGCCTCTGGCAAGGGACCTCAAGCTTAGAAGGGCTCTTTGTACATTTATTTTTTTCTTTTATTTAGTTACTTAATGGGGCTGGAACTCTGGACAGGTGTACTGCCCTTGAGCTTTTTCTGCTCAAGACTGGTACTCTACTACTTGAGACACAGCTCTATTTCCAGATTTTCTGGTGGTTAATTGGATAGAAGACCCTCATAGTCTGTCCTGCCTAGGCTGGATTCGAATCATGATCCACAGATCTCAGCTTTGCTGAGTAGCTATGACAGAGTCACTAGTATATGACCCTGTAGAAGGTTTAATGCTCTACTTCTACTGCCTTAAAGTTCTTAAGGATTTCTGACAAAGAACTTTACATCTTCACTTTGTACTAGACTCATAAATTATGTAGCTGATCACATCTACATGGGTTATTGTGGTGAAAAGTTAAGTTCTATGCAGTACTGAATTAAAAATAAACCACCCTCATATTATCTTGTCAAAAAAGGCCAGTTGTTCCCTAAAGAAAATCTGATAACTGGGCTAAGATAAATATTTTATGAAAACCTGTATGGAGCCAGTGATTACTCCTTTGTCTTAAGTGGTGCCATTTAATATGAATAATATTGCATATTTCTGTTTGTTTCAAAAACTTTGAATTATCTAGTCAACATTAAAGCCAATGGGAGTTGGAACAGTTTTTTTGACAATACGTAGGATTGTGCCAGGGCTTCAAGCTTACTGTTCATGTGCACCACCATTGGAACTATGCCCTCCATTCTTTTTCTTTCAGTTTAGTTTTGATATAGGATCTCACAAACTCTTGAGCATTAACAAAAAAGAAAGCATACGTGATATGATTTACCTGGCTATGAATCAATTGTAGATTTGATCTCCATATTCGAGAAATAGAAACCTGAAGGACTGTCTGTAGTTGTTTGCTCTCACCAAAAAGTGCACTATAGGAATCGAAACATCTAAAAGAAGGGCAGACACACCAATCTCCCTGCTGCTGACTGCAACACACCTGCAGAAATGCTATGGGAAAAGGTATAGTCACCTCCACCATTGTTACTTAGGTGTCAAAATTGACTCAATACGATTCTGAGCCTTCACTAATCATAAGTTTGGGTTTTAGGGTGTAAGTGGACTCACTAATATATGGAGATGGCCTAGATGAAAGGAAATAGTTTTCAAATTTATTTTTATTATCTTTAAATAGTTGCACAAATGGGTTTCAATCCAACAGATTAATTTATGCCTACAATATATCTAAAGGAAAGTTTTCAAAGAGGCTCACTGACAAAGTTCAGGCCACCAGCTCCAGCCAGTTTATCCAAAGTCCTTTCTTGAAACTGTCAATTCACATCTTAAGGAGATTTCTATCATATTTAAAGGTTAGAATAAAAAAGAATAAAATCAGGTTGTCTGCAAGGAAATGGATACAACTGGAGGTCATGCTAAATGAAATAAGCCAGACTCAGAAAGACAAATGTGGCATATTCATTCTCATATGTGGAGCTGGAATCTTTTAAGAGTAGAAGGAAAGGACACCACTGGCAGGGGAGACGGAGAACAAGATGACAACAAGGGGGCGAATATAGTCAAAGTACGAAAATACCATGAACTCTGATATCTCATACCATGTTTATACACTAACAACAAAAAAGAAAATTTCAAGAGCAGGAGGCAGAGGAGATTTTACTGCAGGCAATGGGTTATCTGTTGGATACAATTTGTTCTACTTCTAATGTACATTCTTTCTTTCTCCCAGGGCAGATTTAAGGCAAGAGTGGTTTTTCTTTCTTTTTCCTCTGTCTCCCTGTCTGCCTATCTGTCTGTCTGTCTGTCTCTCTCTCTCTGTCTCTCTGGCTCTCTGTCTCCGTCTCTGTCTGTCTGTCTGTCCTATCCTGTCTGTCTGTCTGTCTGTCTGTCTGTCTCTCTCTCTCTGTCTTTCTGGCTCTCTGTCTCTGTCTGTCTGTCTGTCCTGTCCTGTCCTGTCTGTCTGTCTGTCTTTCTCTCTCTCTCTCTCTCTCTCTTTAGGATGTAGGCAGAATTATTTTCATCTAGAAGTCCCTGCATCTTGCTAGAGACACTTTGGTGTTCCCGAATACCCCTGTGCTGCTCCCAAAGTATGGGGAAAATGGATAATGATTGGGAAGAAGTTGGATATGGGAAGGGCATGCACCTTCTTTCCCTGTTGGAGCTGTCTGCCAGGAGGTTTTGTGAAGATCACATGGATTTAATGCCAGGTTTCAGGAAGGCCCTCCTGATGTATCCTTCAGTTGCCCCCTTTCTACTATTCATCAGTGTCTGCTAATTAGAAAATCAACTCTTATTTATACCAACAGTTTCCAACACCCCCACCCAAGACAGCTAAATGAGGAGAATAGATGAGCCAGTCTTATTAAAAATGATTTAAAATTTATCAGTTCCTATTTATGTTCCTTTTATGTCCCAATCTTCTACAGATTTAACGAGTCCAGATGAGAAGGTTTTGAGGTATAGCAATTTATCCCTTGAGTAACACAAAACTTGATTATACTTGAGTAATATTCATGACCCTAGCAGCAGAGATGACAACAATGGCTAACATTGCCAAGCATTTGTCCTGTGCTAGGCACAGTACTCACCACTGTGCATACATTATCTCATTTAAACCTCACAAAACACCTGTGGAAGTAAATGTTGTTGTCTTCATTTGTGTATAAGGAAACTAAAGTTCAGAACGTTTAAGAATTAAGAGTTCACACAGGTGACGTTATATAGGCCTCTATTTTCTATCTTAGGTTTTCTTAGTCTGATATTTCTTGGTGCATGGCCCTTGAACCAGGGAAATCAGAAAACTCTAGGGATCTTCAACTTCCTGGGTCTTGCCTTCAACTAAGGGAATCAGAATCTCTGGGAGTGTAACCCTGGAGTCTGCACTTGAAACATGTTCCCCAAGATACTCCTATGCACTCTAAAGTTTGAGAATCACTGTCTGGCTTCTGAGATGTTTAAAACAGCAAGGTTATTGGGTGTGAGAGTGTGTTGTTAACTTGGAGGGCTGAAATTGACTTCCTTCTAGTGGACCAGTGGGGAAAAGTAGAGGCAGAGACTTGCGTTTTAGTCCTTGATTGGGTTTATGTAATTTATTTAACCTCTCTTGGCCTCTAGTTTCTCATTTGTAAACCAGGAAGTCTACTCCTTTTTTAAAAAAAAATTTCTTTTCCAGATGGTTGTGAAGATTGAAGGATAGATCAGAGTAGAATGAAACTTAAAATGTAGAAAGTATTCTGCAACTCTATGGCCTATTAACCACAGGTTTGCCCAGGACTAGGGAGCAGAAACAGCAATCTGCATGATGCTGGCTCCTTAAAAAGATGCAGAGGAGATGCAATAAGCAGCAAATCCTCCTAGGGCCTGGGCATCTTTGAATTAGTACAATTTCTTAGGAAAGAGCATTTCCCCTAGGACTTAGAGGAATTGTTTCCTTCTAAGCCAAGAGTGCACACTGTCTTTCTACTGCTGGCCTTCATTTACCTGCCTGTGTCATATAAGACTCAGGGCTGCTCTCTGCCACAACTTGTCCCCTATGAGAAGGTAGAAGATTAGCACCTGCCCTTCCCTGGTCACACCCTCTGTTGCCACCAAGTCTTCATCAGTGTGATTGAATGTTCTGTACTTGCCAGGATTAGTATGGCTATGGATTGGATAAGGGTGCCTCAAAGAACTATATGTTGAAAGTTTGTTATCCAGACTGTGGTATCATTGGGAGATGGTGTAACCTTTAAGAGGTGTGGCCTACTTGGGGACCTCAGACCCTTCCTGTTTCTTTCTCTCCCTTCCTGGCCTCTACGAGGTGAATAGGTCTCCTCTAACAACATATGCTGTCACAGGCCCCAAAACAGCAGGCCAGAAGAACACGAATGAAGACCTCTAAATTGATTGTCAACTGAAGCCTTTTCTGTTTTAAAATTGCTGAAATAAGGTAAACCTGACTACATACATATGTATCATTTTATTTAATCCTCACGGCTGTGCTGTGAAATCAACACTTCAGTTATCACTGTTTTATAGGTGAGGAAGCAAGCATCGGGAGTTTAATCTGCCTTAGGTTGTGAGTAGTGAAAGTCAGGACTCAGTTCTTCTCTCCTACAGAAAGCTCTCAGGAAAGGCTGTTTGAATAGCGCTGTGCCTGGAAGTGTAAGAAGCGTTATGCTATTCTAAGGCCTCGGAAGGAGTGTCCATATTTGAAAGCAATCTCTTCCTTTCCCTGGCCCTCTACAATGTGGCCTAAGTTATTCAATTAGGAAGGGAAATAATTGGCAGTGCAGAACGCCTCTAGCAGTGGTAATTACCTCCAGTGCCTTGTTGGAATAGTCAAGCTACATTTCAGTTTATGCTGTAAAACCTTAATTATAATATAAACAGCTGCCCTTCAGCCCTGCAGGGCAGCCTTCCCCCTCCCTGCCCCGCTCTGCCTTCGTTCTCTGGTCTGGAATGGTACTCCCTCATGAGTGGTCAGGAAGGTTCAGGAGTGGGAAGGTACTCTGGGGTAAAGGGGAGCTGATTCCAGTATGTGCAGAGAGGCTTAGGAGGCTAAACTCAAGGGAGCCTCTGTCAGATAGCTATCTTCAAATAAGGAAGTCATAGGCAGCAGCTCCATCTCAGTACCAAACACAGTAGAGTCTCAGGGGCAAAAGTCTCTAGAAGTGAGCTGTCAGCACCATTCTGCTTGCATGGGGTTTGGCAGAATATTATGTGGTTTCTAGGTAATTATCTCTTTTCATCCACTCCCTGTGAGGGATAATAGCCTTTCCTTCTGAAATCAGGCTCCATGATTGAAATGGAGACCTACAGAGTAGAGGTAGGGCCTATATACCAGGTAGTATACTAGATATTGTCACAAGCATTTCCCCCATCAAGACTTCCTAGCACCTGCATATCTGGGACAATAACAGCCCAGTCCACTTGGTTGTTGGGGAAAATATGCCTTTGAAAGTTTAATGGAAGATGAGGTTTAAAATGCAAACCATTCTGTGAAACACTTGGGCTCAGGTTCAGGTAGTTTGTGGATAATAGACAGTTTTACTCACAATGGAGTCAAAGGAAAGATTTGTTACCATCAGGTATCCAAGAAGATCCAAGAACGGGATGGTGATGAAGAAGAAGAATCAATAATAGCTAAAGATACTGATTGCTGGGTTCACAAATCTGCCTATTAATGTTGGCTCTGACCCTCTCCAAGGTGCAGCTCTGTGTGAGCTGATGACTGGATTTAGAATCTATAAAGACCAGGAGTCAGAGTAGTGGAGTGGGGTCATCTGATGGTTGGGATGGTCAATAATATGGTTTCCTCCACTCATGTTCTCATTGATTATTATGGGAAAGATGTGGCTTCTGGGTGATTCTCAAAACTGAGGAAGTATCCTAGTCCCCGGAGAGCAAGAAAAAATCATTAGACAATCTTTTTGAAAGTTGTTTCCTCCTTTATTTAATTTGATTTCTGTGTGTTTTATAATGTGTTTCATAAATGTGTTTGATATGCAAATTAGGACATTTATCTAATTTGCCGAATATAGCTATGTCATGTACATAAATATATGATGCATATATTCATGGCCAAAATTTTTGAAGCCAATTGGGTGACATGCTGTTATGATCCCATGAATTTCTCGTAAATAAAAAAAAAAGCAAACAAACCATGCTTGAGGGATAGTATTTCATTTTGATGACTTGGAGTAATAGTAATTATTCCTCATGGAATATCTATGATTCTGATCTCCCTATCCATCTTGTAGAAACAAGGTGACATGGAGACACACAGAAACTCTGGTGCTGAACTCCCTGGAACATACTGACGCTGACCTACCTGGATTCCACGCTTGCTCTGTTACTCGAGCCATGTGTTATGGGGTAAGTTATTCAGCTCATGTTTGGTAGATGGGTTTACATCCCTGTAGTGGGGATGGTCAAATGAGTTAATACATGTATAGTGGCTATAATAATATTTGAACCTGAGTACCCAGCCAGTAAATGCTAGTTAAGTGGAATTTTACTAAGAAATGGATCTTCAGGGAATGGAGAGGACAGCTGACATTTACCTCCTAGTTGGATGATGCTAAAGTATCTATCTTGGGACCTATAATAAAATGGTTCCAAGTTCTTATCACAACAGTTGGATATGGGAAGGTATGTCTGCTTCTGTTTCTAAGAATCTTCAATTCCAACCTCCTAAATGCATCCTCTATATTTCCCCAACTGGAGCAGGGAACTGGACATTGGCAAACTTCCCTTTCAATGTGAAGATTCTCAGCAAGCTGGCCTTCATTCTAGCAAGTGTGTTCTTCCATCTTGCTGTGGTCCTCTAGTGTTCTGAGTTTTTCAAGCCCTCTTTGCTCCCAGGAGAGATTCTAGAGTCTTGGAGAGATGAAGATAAAGCCTATGAGGGTCTTGCATTAAGAAAAGTTATGCTGAGGACTTGGAAAGCAAAGGAAGAACTTCTGCTAGATAGGGTCTACATGGCTAGATGATGACTTAGTTGTTACCATACCTTCCCACTGGTTTTCCTTCACAGTTCTTAGGTACAACATCCACTTGTTCTGACTCTATAAATTCTAAAAGCATGTTGTCTTTTCCATAAAGATTTGAAAGTGTCTTGTGAAGTTTCAGTGACTTTGTAACACCCAGGTTGCTTTAACCCAAGCTTTCTCTTCCAATAGCAGATGCTGTATGCAATTGTAGGCCCATCTAATCTTTCAAGAGCTTTTGGGGGGTAGGGGAAGAAATATTGATCATGATGGGAAGAAGTTATCTTACTATAAACTTTCCACAGAGGATGGCCAGCTCTACCTGACTCCCAGGCTTTGGCATCCTTACCTGCCCTCTTCCAGCATCAATGATTTCTCCTCCTCTACTTCCCTTTTCCTAAGGAAAAAGGAAGAGTTTTCTGAGGGCTGAGGGTTTTTTTCCTTTTTATATTAGAAGTGGTCAGAGACTAACAATAAGTAAAATATCCAGCAAAAAAGGGGAAACTTGCAATGTTCTAAGATACTTTAAATGGTGCACTTGAAATGCATTAGGATAGAAATTGAAGTCCTTGAGTGGATTTTAAAAAATATTCTTTTTATTTCACGTTAACCTGAGTTCAACTTTCTCTTTTCTATTCATTTCCTAGAAATCCTTCTTTAATGAGAAGCTAAAGGATGATACACACATTGCTCAGTAGTGGAGAGACTGAGCCGGGCCAGCTTCATCTGTGAATTCTCTCTTGGTAGATGATGAACTGAGGCTACTTCTCTCCAGAGACAATCAAAATAACACTTTGTGGAAATCTCTGGCCAAAATAAAAATGAGTTGCTTCCATGGTTATAAAGTCTTTTTGTGTATCACTTTTCCTGATTCCAGTGATCCAGTTACAAGTTTACAAGTCTGGGTGGAACCATATTCAGTTAAATGAAGATAAAGAGTCACTTTTCTATATGAGCAGAAAACACCCAAGGATGGTAGGAAAATCCTATGTATTAGCAGACTCATAAAAGCCAATTCCTAAAGTAAAAAGACTATTTCCCTCCAGAGTTACCACATGCCTTTCCTTTTGAGTTCATTTATATTTCAAAGCCAATTTGTCCAGGAATAAATCTCTTTAGCACACTTAACTAACACCTGGAGATATGTCCCAGGGGAACCAATGTCCTAAATGAACTGTCTCAACAAAGGATTTGACAATAGCATTGTTGATTCTGGAAATTTCACCTTCAGGAAAAAAAAATCATGAATAGAATGCTGGGAAATATAGAACACATGGAATTTAAGAATCTACAAATTAAGTCCAAACTCTTAAAAAGAAGGTTTGGGTGTTAACTAAGTATATAGCAAAGAAAAGGAGCAGACTTGTGTAGTCCTGAAGTTTAGAATTGGTCCATTTACCTTAATTAAATAAACCCAGCTGGCTGTTAGACTTGGGTTTGTGGTAATTTCTTCCCATCCATCTAAAAAAGGACATGCAATCTTCTCCCTCCTTGCTTCCTCTTCCCTCCCTCCCTCCCTCCCTTCCTTCCATCCTTCCTTCCTACCTTCCTTCCTTCCTTCCCTCCTTCTTGCCTGCCTGCCTGCCTTCTTGTAAAAAAATTTCTTGGGATCACCAAGGTAGCCCCAGGAAAGCTAAAATTAAGCTTCAAAGATTGTTTTTAATTTTGATTCACATGTACCACCTTATCTTAAAAGGAAGGTAAGGTTTATTAAATACTTTTCTTGAGATGTGATTAGCATACAATAAACCTATCTAACTAGTCACAGATTCAATGCAATTAAATAAAGGAACGGGTACCAAAATGTCTTATACAATGCTCAGTATTATCCCTAAATTTAAATATGGCTGGGCTGCTAATAGTAGCTTTGTTTACAAATCTTCCTTTCCTATAGAATAGCCTAAAATCCAAAGCTGAAAAATAGTGAGGCTCTTAATAATTTGACTTCATCCTCCTCTGTTGCTCATTGGCTGCAATGCTGTCTCTCCCCCACTCCCCAACTTGTCAGATGAACCTGGATGAGATACAATGATCCCTGTTCAGAATTTCCTTATGCTGCTATATTTCTGCCCATCAGGTCCCTGCCTCTCCTTCAAGATGAAAAGCCAGCTGTCCCCAAGGGATCTTTCTGATGACTCTGACTGGTTATTAATTTCTTTTACCAATGCTATGTTGCTCAGTTCCATCACTGTAACAAAATACTCAAGATAAATGATTTACAAGGAGGGAAAGTAGTTTGGGCTCAAGGTTTCAACAATCTCAGTGAAGAGTCTGCTGGACTATTTCTTTTAGGGCCAAGACAAGTCAATACATCATGGTAGAATGGCCTGGTGAACAAAGTGGCTTGCTTCATGACAGAGAAAGAGGAGGGGCCTGGGTCCTAATATCTATGTCAAGGGCATGTCCCCAATGACCTAACTTCCTCTCATTAAGCTTCAATATCTTAAAGGTTTCTCCACTTCTCACAATGCTGAAGACTAGCAACAAACTTTCAACACATATGTCTCTGGGGAACATTTCAGTTCCAAACCATAGCAGGTGGCTTATTTCATCATGCTATATTGATTCTAAGATATTTGTCACATTCTATTTTGCACCACTTATCATAACTAGCTCATCCTTTCTTGTAAGTTTGATAAACATTCATTGAGCATACATAATACCTGAGCAGTGAGCTAGAGATGAGAGGGGCTGGGTAGAGGTACAGAGATGAATGGCATAGTGTTTGCACTGCAAAGGCTCATAGCTTGGAAAGGAGCCTGAGGCTGCAGGCTTTACCATGTTCAACTCTGTCTCGAACATTGTCTCCAATGTCCCATGCATAGTAGAGACAGATGCTAAATAAAATCAAACAGTATTAAAGGTGAAAAAATATCGGACTGTTGAGTACAATTGCTTTATACAAGAGAAAATGAAATCTTGAGCAAGAAAAAGAATATATCCAGGGTTACCAGCAATTCAAGAAGTTATAAGTAGATGGTTATAAATAATGAAAATATAAGTAGAGTGCTATAAATAACCAAGGTGGAAGGTTAAGCAAAGGCACTGTTGATGTGGTGGTGGTAATAGTGGGTATTATTTTTCCTCTAAAATCCAAAATTGTCTTTGGTGACAAGAAGTCCCCCCTCATTTTTTGCACTTCTCAGAGACTTTGGGAAGTGGCCACTGGCACTGTCTTCTGCTCTTTTCAGAGCCCATGATGTTGGAATTTGTATATGTAAAATTCTTTATTCTTTTCTTGATTGTTTTTTGGTCTCATTTGGCTTTGTTGCTCAGGGCTGGCTCTCTACCACTTGAGCCACAGCTCCACATCTGCCTTTTTGGTGTTGAACTGGAACTAAGAGTCATTTTGATTTAGCTTTGAACTGTGATTAAAGCCCTTTTTGCCCATGGAAGTAAATGCTATATCCTATGAGGTATCTTGTGACTTTACAAGAACCTGGGCTCAAATTCTAGACCAGTTACTGGCCAACTTAATGCTTTGAAAGAAAAGACTTAGTATTCCTTGTTTGTTAAATAAGGATGGTAATAGTTATGAGATAGCACTATTATGAGGTTTACATTAGTGATAAACCAAATTAATGTATGAAAAAAAGCAAAGTGAGTTAGTGTTGGTGGCAGTGGGGATAGTGGTGTTGGTGGTAGAAGTAGATATCATAATTCAAACCTACCCACAACTTACTATTAGCTTTCTGCTAATGCTGTTTGGATCCTAAAAAGCAGTCCTTTGTGAACTTACCCATTGGATATATCGGAAAGAAATTCATGCCATTATACTTTCCAGATCTCCTTTCTTATCAGCATTAGATCTGTCTTTAACCACACAGCAAAGAATAAGTGGTGCTCTTATGATTTTAGTAATGTTGATGCCTCCTTTTCATCCTACATGTGTTCTTCTCCTTTACCCCAGAAACAAGTTCTCTCAGTTACTGGCCACATCTTTTCACTGAATCCTTGAGTCAGCTGCCAGTGTTGCTGGTTTGTTGTTGTTTTTTTATATTAGTCATGCTTCACACACCCTCCGTGCTTTATTTACTGCTTTAGGCAGCAACTTGTTTGATTGCATGGTGCCTCTTTTCTCCATCAGCCAAACCATCCATGGTTTCTCAATTTCAGACTCAAATGAGACAGGATGAAAATGCTGGTTTTCGAGGCAGAGAAGAGACAGATTAACTATAGTGTAGTCATTTCTCTCTCAAATCAATACTCACAACATAACTATATGCTAGATAAGCTATCAGCAAAAAATTTAAAAGTTATTCACAATCTACTATTATTAAAAGAAATAGACAAGATATGTGAGTGTACGACTAATATGAACTGGTTAAGAAAATTAGTTTTAGTGACTGTACTTGGGTAAACAAAGATTCAGATTTATCTTGTCTTGCCCTGTCCATTGACTACGTTATTGTACCCTGGTCTTCTGTTATTTTGTTATTGAAATTTCCCAATTATCTTCTGAAATGTCAACAAACAAACCAAAAAAATCATATTACAATGAGTATACTTTTCATATTGAAAATATTGCACTTACATATCACTACTTGAAAATACTTTATTTGTGAATGAACATATGGCAAATTTTGCTGTACTAGAATATTTAGTTCATCACTTGCATAATTCAAAGCTGAAAGATTTCACTGATCATCTACTTCATGCCAACTCTACATTAGACATTCTGGAATAGAACTTCTTAATCTGGATCCATGAAATCTTGGGAGGTCTATAAGTAAATGTTGGGGAGGTGTGGAATTTAGCAGCTATAAATGTATAGTTCTTTTGCTGAAGGAGCAAGCCTGCTACCTCCAGAAGCACTGTTGTCAGTATTAAGTGATCATGTAGGAAAAGGTTTAAGGAACAGTGAGTGTAGTGTAGCTGTGGCTCAAAGTGATAGAATTCCAGCCTTGAGCAAAAAAGCTCATGTACAGCACCCAGGCCCTGAGTTCAAGCCCCAGGACTAGCACACACACACACACACACACACACACACACACGATTAACCATGGGGTTGAAAGCATGGTTCAGTTGGTAGGGCACTAGCCAATGACTGAAACCATCAGGTACTAATGAGTTTGAGTCCCAGCCTCAGACCTAAAAAAAAAAGAAAACAAAGAAAAACAAAGAAAAGAAATGGTGTGTGGTACACAAAATATGCTTTAGGATGAAGATGTTGCCAATCATTAGCTACTGTTTTTCTACCAGAAAAGAGGTAAGTCAAGGGCAAATTTCTGGTCCCAAGAAATAACTCCAAAGTTATTCAGTTCTTCCAATTGTTGTTATTATCTTATTATTAAATATTTTGTTTGAGGAGGAACTCACTCAGATCCTGGAGAAATAGAGCATCCAAATCTTCTCGACGCCTCATTATAAAAATTCCTCTCCCTGTTTCTCCTCTGCCACTTGAATTTTGTCCTTCCTGCTGTGTTCACACATATGCCCCAAATCCTTCACCTTGTGCATTCCCCCCACCCCCCCCCACCCCCGCTTTGCTTCTCTCATTCCTTCTCAGTTCCTTTCCTCTGCCCTTGGCTACAAACCTGCTCTGTAATTCACAACAGAGCAGCTGTCGTTGGCTGGGAGAAGCAGGCTCCTTGGTTTTAAACAGTCCCAGAACAAGGCAATGACTTTGGTCTCCGGCCTCCTCAATAGACTGCACAACAAAGCTGTTGGTGAAAGAAGGTGTCTCCTAAGAAGTTCACATTACGGCCCATGGTGAAAGAAAATGGTGATATTGTTACAGCTGCCAGTTTCTTCCCATTGTCTTCCTTGTCAAAAACATGCCCCCTCCAAAGGGCTGGGATGCGTTTCAGTACAATTTGA